GAAATCGGGACTCCTGGTTTTATCCACTTAGAATGGCCTTCTTACATGATAGTCTTCTGGCTCCTCCGGTGTGTTTAAAGTTGATAAAAGGTATTGGAGAGTGGAAAAACTTTGAGCGTGAGTTTCAGCTAGACAGCTGACGTTTACGTAACTATGGCGAAACATATTACTTAGACGCTGCAGCGCACGTTGATGACACTTCTTCATAGACATGCCAGAGACTGATAAGTTAACACGAACCCACATATATGAGACAAACTATGAGAATATCCTAATGTGCAGAATCAAAGGTAACCGGATTAGTTGCTCCGGACTGCAAATCTGCGAGGCCATTTCGTTACAAATCGTCCGCTGAAGGATGTGATGTTTGACCATCAATCTAGCTCACAACAAGCTGTCCGGGTGACGGGAATGCCCAGAACACGAACTCGATATACCTGGAAAGTATCCAGTTTGTTTAGGATATTTGGACAAAATTTCAAGCTTCCTTCAAAAGACAATAAGTGGGCGCAGGTTTTGATTGATTTTGTTACGTGGAAAGACCAAATTGTGGCCTTCATGTAATGATATCAATCTTACGATTCTGTAGGTAACTTGTTAGTATAACCATGCATTTGCAATTTTAGTCATATTTGGTCGCTAGAATTCCAAAATTTCTTTTTGAGGATGTCGAATTTTGTGTTCCCTGCATTATTGTCCGAGCAGTTCCTCTGAATGCAATAAGTTTCGAGCACAAATTAAGGCAAACCCTCAAACTGTGGCTTCTCCTCAGTCTATATGTATCAAGCCGAACGAGGAAAAGTGTGGTAACAGTATTAGCTCAACCAACTCTAAACACGAACAGGCTAATGGACAGTGGTTTGTTTTGATCGCTTACGACGCGGTTGGTAGATACTTTGTCTCTTTCCTGTCTATTAATTAAGAATAATAGATAGTAATAAGGGGCTACTTTAGTGCGGACTATCCGCTGTCAATGAATGAGCCTTGCTGCTCAAATCAGTTTTACATGGTTTTGTCTGTAACTGCAGATGACGAGCAGGTTTCGTCACAAATAGTTGTAGCTCTACTCTGAACTAGGTACAGTCAAGGCCTCCCAACAGTAACAGTAGAAAAGCTACTTTTCCAAAGTAAAGCTCTGCGTCGATCGGATTCGTGACGAAGTACTGAGTGGATGTTTGATTAGAGCCTTGAAGACGCTTAGTTATGGCCTAAGAGAATCAGGTGTTCCGCAATATATTCCGTTTACGTTTCCAGGTCTTTGATAGGACGTCTCATTACTCTATTCTTGTTTTTCGTGGTAAACAGGATCTAAACATATTACTAATCACGCATTACCATAGTCCTTGCACGTCCGGCGGATTTGCAAGTAGCATGATGATTTTCGTCATTACTTTCAACTTTTCCCATTGTTTTTATACGCTCAGGGGCAACAAAGTAAAACACAGAGAACTCTATAATTTGGAAAAAAATAGTCCTGGCTTTGCTTTCAGTCCTGGTTTTCAACAGCGAAGTAAAAATGACAGTGTAGGTGAAAACGCAGCGCAATACAAAGTACTTAAGGGTATTTCATTTAAAGTTGACCATGTTTTCAAAAAAGTGAAGGTATTTTAAAATGTCTGACAGTAACTAAACGAAAACCAGGTTAGCGAAATTTCACTGCCACTTTCTTTTCTCCACTTCAAGCAGTTAGTATCAAGTCTGACTGATGGATCACCGGAAGGAGTACACTTGTGGTATCATGGTTTAGCTTATCTTCTGCAGATTACAAATGGCTTTCATTGTCCCCAATATATGGTTTCATAGCTCGTGGGGTTCAAGGAGCTCTGGTCTAATATTTAAGGTTACAAATTTTAGAGGGTGGTCAGTGGGACCTTCGTCATCCTTTCTAGTCAGCCCTCCATCATCACGTATATCGCAAAAAGACTTGGTTCCTTTTAGCTTCCGTCAGCACTATTAATTTTGCACACATCTCCGCAAGAAAAACGGAGCCTGAATCGGCCGCTTTTTGCTTTTTCTTTAAGTGCATGATTGAAAGCTTATACTTAGAAAGCCAAAACACCTTAAGTCGAAAGGTAGAAACAGTAACTGACACACAACTTCGTATGGTGTACTACACAAAGTGATCTTCTCTTTCGGCCACATTTGACTCAAGACTGATAGGCAAGAAAACATTAAACTTTGACTCTCCTACCGGAAGTAGATCACGAAAATGAACACGCCTTAGAAACTAAAGTTAGTTGTCCTTCGATAGTAGAAGTTACAAGTTGGTTACTCTGGTTTTCGTTTGTTGACGAAATAGACATTCGAATCTGGTGTGACATTAAAGGAAAGGTGAGGAAAGGTGACATTAGAGGAACGGTGACAGAAAATAATTATGCTTACTCTCATGTCAAAACCAATGCCCTTTGTGCTTTGCGGGGTTAATTGCTTTATTGACATTCTGTAAAATGTCACTGGATCAATGCTTCAAATATGAATGGCTGATAAAGCAAACTTAGAAGACTCAGTCCAAAAACATGTCGGATACTCTGCCTGTTATGGCTGCTTGGCAGGTCAAAGGGATAGTTATGTAATTTTTGAATCAAACTATTTCGGAGTTTTCATAATAGAATACACAAGCTACAGCTGCAACAAACGCACTATTCCTTTTGTTTGATTTCTGACCTTTTTTGAAAGCTGACTCGCTTAAAACCCGTTGAGTTTGCTATATTATGATCTTGCGTTTCCACCTCTTATTCTTGGATGGAAACTAAGGTTTGGAGATTGTGCATTCATAAATTGACACAAGAGCTTCGCTGTGAATAGGGCTTTCGCAGATAAAAGTCATGAAAAACTTGTTGTGCGAGCTCAGGCCATACCTTACTGCTGAATAAAAAGGCCTAATATTTCTAGTATCATATTAGTGACGAATGATTTTTGCTTCAGTTGGTTGGAAAGGTCAGACAGTTGAGTTTTTGTTTTGATGCACCTAAGCACAAAACTGGGACGACTGCATAACGCCATCTTTTATCGATTGGTTGTGTGCGGTGATGTCCGTAAACAGTGAACTCAGAAATATATTATCCTTATGCTCATACGGTTAGCTTATTTGGTGTTAGAGACCAAAACTATGAAAACCATTGATCCGATGTAAGCCTGAGTGAAATCCTGAGGAAAATCCACTCCATCGATTCTGCAAAATATTAGTCCAATATATCATAAAGTGATCCAGAATTATCCGTCTCAGGTGAAATGGGACCCATTAGGGAGTGAAACCAGCATTTGGTATGACAGTTGAAACTCCGCAAATTTCTAAGAACTACGGTCAAATCACTAATCTTACTTGGTCTCCTTGAACGAATAATGGAGGGTGGCTGGTTTGCATCGTGTGAGCGTGTGCAACCAAAATTCAAATGAAATCTAGAGCACCAATAATCTTCGGTTCAACATCGAGATTGCCTTTGGAGGATTGTCTACTGAATATACCTTACCACCGACAACAGTGACAAGAACTTTAAAATACCTAAAAATCAGGCGAAAGAATCACTGCTCCGACAAAAGGATTATTCGCTTAATGTGTAAGGCTGATAAAAATAAGAGCACGGTTGCTCACAGCTCACAGATCGGTTCCCATTACGTGGAATAAACAACTGGGACGAGATTCAAATGGTTTCTCTCCAAATATGGTACTGATACGACATTTTCATGAGGGAATTGAAACAAGTGGGAACAGAACCCAAGACATGGCTGTGCAACGACGTCGGCTAAACAGCGTTGGTTTAAATATGGCTGAACTGCACTCAAACCTCAGTCATGAGTTGGGAATGCTTACCGTGGGTTGTCCTAAGAACAAAGGGGTAAAACATGTGCTTGTTGGGTCAAGCAATGGCACGTACACTGTGAAGCAAAAACAGGTTGTCCAAACACTGAATCAAAATTCTGCTGATCTGCACTCACGATAGCAACGAAGTTAGGTTCCCATCGGTGGAAACCGTGTATCCGTGCTAGATAAAGTGGAGACATTGATAATGTATGTTCTACCTCAGTGAAATTGTCTGGATCGTGTGACCAGTATGGTTAGTGGTTGTACTGTGAATTAGATGCGTACTCTCTTGCAGCCGTTAAGACTGCCTCGCTAGCTCAAAGTGTAACAGTGAGTAGCCGCACCAGCATACCTACTTCCAGGACAGCAATATTGAAGATGGAACGGGTTTTTCAAGTATGTCCATCCTCCTGGTCGGGAACTAGGCAGCAAGACAGTTGTTTAGTATTCATCGCCATTTAATTCCAGTGTTGTACACTTTGAAATCAGAAGCCTGAAGTACTGGAAGTACACGGATTGATTCCTGCGAAACTGACTATTAACACCAGTTTTTATAAAGCGATGAAAATATTACGAGTCTTCAAACGTATAGGCTAAGATTTAGGGCGTATTGCAATATTTTTCTGTGAATTATTCGATGGTCAGAAATACAGTAAACAATTTCCTGTCCTTAGTGGGTTAAAAAGGTGCTCCCACATTGGCTTTTTGGAAGGAAGTCCGGTTGCATCCATTGATTTAAAATGTTACTCTTCAAAACTGGTGGTGGAATTTAGTGCTTCATCAACGTTGTTTTATGATACGGCAAATGTGTCTAATGGTTCACGGTATGGGCTACAGTGTCCGGAAGTAAATTAAGTTATTTTGTGTTCTATATCTACTAGAGCTCATTGTACACCACGAAGCAAAGATTTAGTGGCCATAACTGTGCTTTTTATGGATATGCTCAATGGTTCTCACCCAAACGAATGATAATGTACACTGTCGTTTTCAGACTTGATATATTCGTGTATTCATTTGTTTGTTAATAACCACGATATTCCGAAACATCTGAACTCATTTTGCACCAAGAGGTGCTCCTATACAGTGCCTCATACAATAAACTTTGTATGCTCAAGGCTAATTTCTGATGATGTTACTTATCCCATGGGCTTTTGAGCCATTCGCACTTGTTTCAATTAATTTACGTTTTTCTTTGCAGAAAGATGTCTGATCCGTGACCCGAAATATCTTTTGGGATCAATTTGAGTAGGTTTTTTACTCGGTTTCCATTTCGTCATTGTTACCCTCATTTGAGACGAAAAAATTTGCTTTTATTGTACTGGTATCTTCCTGGTTTCTGAACACAGTACTCTTGTCTGGATAGTTTTAAACTGCCTAAAACTATTGAGCCAAATGAAAGCGGAAGTTTTCTTACGTCCATTTGTTCACAAGGAACATACCAGCGAGTGGTAAAAAGTGGTACTCAGGGACTTAGGTTACAGCCTCCTTCATTCCATTGGACATCCATAGGTGTCTGTGCAAATGTGTGATTGTACTAGACATCATAATCTCACGATTGATCGACTTAGTCCTACGGTTCACGGCTCCCCTAACCAATCTTGATAGACAGTAGATCGCATTCTTCGCATGGGCCTTACTTGATGTCATGACATCTTAACAGACACGAAACTGTCAAAACCGGGCTGTCGAAATTAGTGCACATTGTCTACAGAATGACCGAGTTGGTGTGTTACCACGTCGCTTGATTGACATTCACTTGCATCTACAATGCAACTACGAATCTATGGGATATAGTGCTGGGGGTCACAATGACAGTTAGACGTAGCATATTCACATAACTCACCGCTGTCCGTCCGCTAGGCCTATTTTAAAAACTGAGTTGCGTTAAGAAATCTCGAACCACAAGCTCGGTTGTTATTGATACTTTTTGTGCATAGATTGTAATGAGTACGCGTAGCAATACGCTGCTGACGGATTGAGCATTTTTTATCCGAGTACTGTGGTCGAGTTAAATGGCATACAACACTATGAAAGATTATTAACAAAGTTAGATGACACCAATTAGAAAGTTAAACGGACGGTCTCTAGGCTCAAGCCTGACGAATTCTCGGCCATGATATCATTTATTCAACTACCTACAATGGTCTTTTTCTTGTCTAATAGCGGAAAAAATAATTAAAAGTAGTCCTGAAAGCACCAGAAGACCATGAGCAAAAAGTATAATGATACTTTGAAAACACAAGGTAAGGAATAGGAATTCATTACTTTGTTGATCAAACTATCACGTTTTGCACCCTAATCCATCAGACAGATACCCATTCAGGTCCTGTAAAATGAGTGACGCGTGTCATACAAGTTAGGGCTTCAACCCTAAGGTTATTGTGTCCAGTGGAACGCAACGATCTACGTATTCACTGTTTCAAGCCACTTTAAACTGAATTAATCTAAATTAGGTTAAATTAAGTTTAAGTTTAATGTGGAGCTGAGAATAAGTCATTTCAAACATCACTGCTCACTCAAATCAGCAGGTTCACTATGTTACAAGGATTTTTCAGAGGTAGGTCATAGGTAGGTTCATAACCTTGCCAGGAGAAAAAATGCAATGCACCCACTATTTGAATAGGGCCATCGCGTCTTCTACTTTGTGATTTGAATGTGAGAAAGGAAATTTTTGTTTAGCATTGATCAGAAGCGCGTTGTCATATTGATGATTATGAGGGGAAAAAGTTGACTGAAAGCACCTGGGTGAAACGACCTTATGAATGGAGTAATGAAACTGAGTCCTGTGGTTTGTAGATTGGAAAACCCCTCAACGCTTGCCACAATAAGGAGATTACGTGATGCTTACTTCAGAGACGAGTATAAGTTTGAAGAACACGGTTCATGTGGTGAACTCCAGTTCAGACAAACACAAGGGGAGACATTAAAAGCGATGAACCTCATTGTTGTGTTTTTCTCATCGGTAGCGTTTCTTCCTAGTATCCAGCAAAGCGGCAAACAGTTTAGTGCATCTTACGCAATCATAATAATTTATGTTTGGAACCTGGAATTATTAAAATTCTTCAACACTGTACAGTGGATAAAGGGCCGTGACGTTTACTAGAATACTGCTAAACTCAGAAGTGGTGGTCAAGCCCCATAGTTCAAATCTGAGTACGATGTGTAAAAGTAGCATCCTTAATCTCCATCAGAATGAAGTTTGGTTTTTGTCATGGTCAATTAGTGTAAGCTACAGTAAAAAAGAGTCGAGTCTAATAAGAAGACTGCCAAACATGAGAGAAGTTCGGCTCAACTCCAGCTAACCAGTAAAACGGTCGTAAAATTCGCACGCCGGGTAGCGATCAGCTGACGATGAGATTCTAGTCATGCTAGTCATGCTCGAATGGAGCCACCATGACAAATGGCGACGAAACAACGTCATGAGTATTCTGAATAACAAATATTAATGTAAGTCTATCGGCCTTCTGTTGGTACTAGTGAAGAGCATGATCGCTCATTTGTGAACAAAAAATGGACGTAATACGAGTTAAGTCAACCCGAGCAGCACTGCGCAAGGAAATTAAATGCAGCGTGCTTTAAACATTGTTTTACATTCGATTACTTGAAAAGAATAAACTACCACATTGAATTACCAGAGAAGTTTATGTAAATCAACAACGTGTTTGAAAAATTCTTTCTATGTGGTTTATAACGTAAACAAGTGAGTGCAAAGGCCGACGATGGTGTTCCTAACGCTAGTCAATTTAGGCCTTTTCTTCGGCTGAATTAACTAGTGGTCAAACAGATGTCCTAACTTTCAGTTCTTAACGTGGCCTAATCAGAATTATGGCACATTGAAGCATGCACTGAAATACATCTATTACACACCAGAATATATTTTTTTATAAAAGCACACTTATTAATTATCAAATCAAGCCAAGTACGTTCCGGTAACGTGCGAAAGTAAATTATGTTAAGCTTTATTTAAATATATGATCGTTAACTCTCAAGAAAATGCATCTAATGACCTGCCCGGCTTTAGACGTATAGTTGTACTCTATTAGTCCTGAGTAGGTAAATCCAGTAATGTTGTAAACCAGTGGTCTGATTGTCGCAGAAAACACCTTAAATTAGGTGCCAAACATCCATGTTTTAAGGCTCAACTAGTCAGTCTTCGCTATGAGGCTGTTTAAGCAAAACAGCAATTCGATATCTTTTAGCTTATCTTTTTGCATTTTATTGTGTATATGTGAGTATCGTTTTCTTTACTGTGCGACTTGTTGTACAATATGCTCTAAATACAGTAAAAGCTTGCTTTTAAGCTTCAATCTGGGCTGATAAAACGGCTGAACTCGTTTGCCATCTGTTTTGAAATATTCATTGCAGTTGCAGGCTGCAAAGATTTATTTTGGAGAGGCAAGAAAACCCCATCGTACTTCCGGCTTCAAAGTTGATGAATATGCGTGGAGACAAATCCGTCGTTCCAGATGGGAACTGTCAAATTAACAGAGGTACTAGATATTTGAAAGACCCAGGAGGGGATCACAAGGCAACGGTACAAGGCTGCTCTCCATCACAAGGAAGCAAGCTAGCTGGTGAGCTAATGTCTACAAGTACTCTCATTAAGGATTTACTGGCGCCTGGTGATCTGATAAAAGACCGCTGGCGCGTTGTTCGGAAGCTCGGCGGTGGAGGGTTTGGAGAAATATACGAAGCAGTGGATACTAAGTTTCAACATGAAGTTCCTACAACGCCGGACAGCAACGAATCTCTTTCGAGACTTGGAAGGCCCACGTTCTGTAGTACTTGCGCCTTGAGATGTGATGAGAAAATTAGAAATGGCTTGCATACTGAGCTTGCAGACCTAACACAGAATGAACAAGACAGCGGTGTGGGATTACAACCTTTTTCTTCGGAGGTCCCTAGCCAGCCCGTGAGAATAAACTCAGCAGGAGTAACAACATACGGATCCTTATCGTCTCAGCAACTTCGGGTGTCACAATTTGACCAAGAACTGCATCCCGGGGCGCCATCTACGAAAGTGGGTGAGTCAGGTTACAGTCCAGCCGAGGGATCAGTCAATGAAAACGGACAAATTTCGAGTAAATCTCCAAAGTCTTTCAAACCAAAGGGTACTACTGCTCATTGCTGGAGATGTGGTGTATCGCTGAACAGGAATAATTCATACCTATCGAACATTCGGCACTATGAGCATTGTGCTTCTAGCGATTCAGGCATTTCAACTTTTGCGGAAGCGGCAGACTATCGCGTAGCCATCAAAGTAGAATCAAACAGACAAGCTCGTCAGGTTCTGCGGATGGAAGTTGCCGTTCTCCGACGGCTGCAGGGCAAATCAAATGTTTGTCAGCTTTTTGGATGCGGGAAGAATACTCGGTTCAACTATATGGTTATGACACTGCAGGTGAGTTATACCGATTTAACGGCAGAATGCTGTCTGACAATTTACCAAGGTCATTTTCAAATCATTCTTTTACGTCCAGCAAGATCTGTATTAACTCTGGTCACTAGTGTCGAAGGTATCTTCGAAATTTCTGGTGGACTAAAATGAAACTTCCTCCCCTCGTTTGGCTTTCGTTTCAAAGCTGGGCCTTTTTCAAGTAAATCGTCAAGAATGTACAGTGGTGAAGTTCCGTTTTGAGTGAGGGTTGCTATGGTTGTTATTCGTGGCGTACATCTAAGCTGGGTGTGGAATTGATTAGCTCCCAATACCACTGAGTAATCGACTTGAACAAAGAAGTTTTGTGATAAGACCTTCGACCTCTGCCCAACTTGTAAGTCTAACTGCATTGGATCCTGTCATATAGTCACCTCATTCGGAGGAGACTCTTTGGAGAAAGTATCGCAATTGTTGTGGGAAGCATTTAACGAAACAAGACAGTAGGACATACTCTATTGCGTTCTTAGTTATCCAAGAAGAAAAGTTCTTCTCACCCAGACGGTTAACGAGGATTTTTTTCAAAAAGTGAACTGAGTGCTATCATCATTGATAGTCCCAATTTTTGTCTTAAAAATGTTCACTATTCGATAGCTTGAATAAAGCTTTCTTCGTTCCACAGTAATAGACATAGATCAACTACGCAGTCAACTCCTCAAACACACTTGTAGCTCATTTCAAACAGAGTTATTATCATGGTATTATCATGGCAGCATGTTCCGAAGATTGCGTACTAATATCTTCGCTGAACTGTCACTAACACTGTCTACTAGGACTGAAATTCCACAGAAATATACACTTGTGACTACTTCTTGATAGCCCGAAATGACTAGACACTGATCTAAAAGGATGACAGGCACATTTATCTCATAGATGAATGTGGATTTTTTCGCCGCTCAATTTGTCCGATGAAATACTTCAGATTTGCTGTGCAGCTCATTGCTAAGGGCGGCTGACAGTGCTAGCATACACAATCCATTTACTTGTGACACGCAACTAGGTCAACATAGAATATTCGATGGCGCGCATATTTGTTTGCTTTAGCCTGTCTTCTTCTAGTCCCGTTCACCGTTTCACTGGTGCACTGAGTCTTGAAAATGCACGTTTGTGTGGGTGTTTAAGAATATGCACACTTAACTGATGCTCCAGAGTTATCTGGGTTTTATGGCACGGGTAATAAACAATTTGTGGTTCTGAATATTTGGGTTAGTGATTGGGTAGTTTATCGACTAATGTGATCAAGTGAATATGCTCTAAAGTCCGAAGGTTTTTTCCATAGACTGCAGCATGCCGTGGTTGAAAGGAACATTAGTACTTGCTTCAGGTATTAAACTGTTTCCTGGACATTCAAATAAATTTGACAAACTACGATTCCCTTTCTGCTTGTGACAAATGAGCAAAATTAACGAAAAAATACATATAGCCTACGGCCTATTCAAATCATTTGTCCTCGCAATTCAAAAGATCCATTTCAAACTGGTTTACATTTAACAAAAAATAACGTGACCATTCAACGAAACGAGCGATAAAAACAATCCCCCAAGCTTTTGCGCGAAAAGGGTCTAATCGGGCCCAGGGGGAAATCGGAAGACCCGATTAGAGCTGTCAAAGCCATGCTCACTCCGTTGGACGATCAGATTAGCCGGCAGATTGACACCGTCTATGAGTTCATTCAAAAATACACAAATGCACAGTGGTGCAAAATGGTGAGCTTTGGGTGTGTGCAACTCTGATGCACTCCACGAGCTAGCACTGGGCCCAGTTCGTGTTTGCTTTATTCCCCATCAATTAGCAATTTAACATGGTGTTTCGGCGGCTAAACATTATCGTTGCAACTGGTGATGTTGAAAGTCACATTCATGTTCATTTGAAATTAATGTCGTTGTCAGCGATAATGATGGCAAATAATCATTTCGCGCCCATCACCGCGCAACAATGTTACAAAATTCGAAGAACTGAGGAATATTTTGACTGTACTCGGTACTAATCATGATTATTTTTATCAGTGTATTCCAGGAACTGTTGACTTGATAAACCATGCACTTACCGGCGACCTAATCAACAAACGCCTCACCCAGGTGGATGCCAAGCTTCTGTGAGCGTTGAAAGATCGGACGTGCTATGACCAAATGCCCTGGAAAAATTAATTAGCCATTACTCTGAGAATGCCCAGTATGTAAATCGAACCTTCCACTTTCGGTATAAGTAGTCAATAATGGATAAAATCTTCAGTTTATAAAACGGGCGTCCGCAGTATGTGAAAGCTCGTAACTTGTTGGTTTGAACTTGTGATGCACACTGTTCATCAGGATGAAATACTAGTTCCCGTAAACCATTGATATTTTAACTACATTATGCTGACTGAACTAATTGAACTATTCACTGAAGATCTGTTGCGGTAGTTCCCAAAAGTTCTCATGTTGCGATTTCATTTTGCAGAAGTCAAGTGGTTGGTGGTTGGTTCCGATTGATTGGTCGCTGTTTTGATGGTCCGGTTGGTTGATCACTGTCTCCAGTTCTGATTTTCCCGATACCCATCTAGGTGATAAGAGTACTCTCTTTTTCGACCCCACTATTTTCTAAGTGCTTAGCACGCGCGGCAAAAAAACCTCCAGTGTTGTTTCGAACACGAAGTTTATTTCATTTCGGCGTCAGATCCAGAAAAATTTCCTGTTCTTCAAAGTAACAGTAGCGAGACTTGCCTGACAAGGAGTTTAAACTTTTTTTACTCCATCGGTCGTCTATCAGGGTATATATTTTTTGGAGGTAGCAATTAGAAAAAGCTGTAAAAGTCTTCTGGAAACATTTAGGCTGAATGATAAGTAATCCAACAGTAGTGTAAAAGATGGGCAGATGTTTTAAGTCAACACGTTTTACGCGCAGATATGCAGATATACAGTTATACAACGCCGTATCTCAAAGTGCTGTTTTACGTTTAACCTACATTGAGACCTGAATCAGTGGATGAAACGTACCACTGCCCGATGTTGGAAACCATCTGGATGATAAAACCATGGCGTTTATTCTTGCTTCCTTGGTACAACAGCCCTTGTAAACATGGCGTAACATCCTCATGACATCCAGTAAATAGCTCAGCTCTCATGGCTTTGAACTCATCCCACTTTAATAAACCCGTTGAATCTGGAAGTTCAACGTATTGGTCGTCGACCACCACCTAATGGGGCTTTGTTAAATCATCCATGTTCATGATTCCTAGAAGAACCAGCAGTCGGAAAAAAATTCCATTCAGCTATGCATGTCAGTACTGAGGAACCTCAAAGCCGGTGGATGGGCGATATTCACCGGACAATTGCAAAAGACTGAACTAGGAAAAAAGGCCTTATCAATGCACTGCATTGAGTCATTGAGTCTTGTGAATCGCTGCATTTCAAAGTCTATCTTCTTTGCTAATAGAAAACAGAAGGTAACACTTAGGTGCGGGCATTTAGGGTTCTGGTGTGACTGAATACATGCAGCTTCCATCGACCAATGTTGTAGTATCAAATGACCGGACGTGGTATTCACTGCATGTCAAGTAACCGTTTTACAGCTGATAATAATGATGAAGTTTATGGTTTAGTAAGTTTGCTATAAACGGAGAAATATCAATCTAAATCCCTCCGGTTGCTATGTAACTTGGTTACTGAGGCTGATTTATAAAGTTTTGCTCCCGATAAAGATGAGAACGGGGTTGAGAGACATCAGTGTGAAATCTTTCACATTTGGGCGGAAGAACTTCTGACTTGATCAAATGTTCTAAATTTCAACTAGGTGGTTGCTTCGGCTTGACCTGTACTATTTTCTTCAGCAGGTGAAAAAAACTTACCGATAGTAAATCGAAAGACTAAATCTCAGTAGCCTTGAACTGCACAATTGCAGTCTGCTCCGCCGAACGTAGATGCCTTATTTACGTAGTCAAATGGGAGCAACCTACGGTGCTCAGTTAACTGTGGTCCAAACAATGACATTTCGAAGGAATTTCTTCCAAATCAGGTCTGTACGTTGAATTCAACATTCCAGAAACCGTTCTCTCAGGGGACTGTACATTAATCGGCTTTTGCTCCGTTGAGATGCAAATTAGGGTTTATAGTCAATACCTCCTACAGCAAAAATATCCTAATATTGGTGATATATAGGCTACACTATATTTTGACACGAGCGGCCTCTAACTCTCCCCACAGGTGGTCAGAAGTATTTCAGGTAAACGGTCATTTAGAGGGGCAAAAGAAACTTCACAAGTTTTGATTGTCAAATGAAATAATTTTTCAGGTGGGTACAATGGCTTTTCTTGTTTTTTTTTAATATAAAAAATGTACTCTAGTGAGGTACTTACACAGTGGTCGGTCAGGCGCTGAACAAATTTGTAAGGAGGCGAGTACTTCATTGCACATTCTGGAAGCGTCGTACAACCTCTTTTTTCGTTTTGTCAGTTGTTTCGGTAATAACTTCTATTTCCTGAAAGTACATGGCTACCCTTCAAACCAATTGGACTGCGAGGGAATTCCTTTTTTAAAATAAAGGCACGTCAAAATACCTTCGGTTTTTTCACAAAACGAACATTCGGATGTTTTTCAGGAGCTCAGCGAATGCTCCAAGTATACGTGCAAGCAGATTCCTCAACAAGGCTTCTCCTTTTTCTCAATTACAGGGCAAGAATTTAGCTGAACTTAGAAGGCTAGCACCAAACTCCAATTTTTCTCTGAGCACTGCTCTACGAATTGTGATACAGTGTTTGGATGCCTTGCGCACTCTTCATGAGGCCGGCTTCTTGCACAGAGATGTAAAGCCCTCCAATTTTACTGTGCAGCGTTCAAGGAACAGCAGTTTGCCAGGTCACTTACAGGTGGTGGTTGTTGATTTTGGCTTGGCCCGTCCATATACAGTGAATGGTCCAGGCACAGAGGTACGCAACCCTCGCCCAGTTGCAGGATTCCGTGGAACCGTACGCTACGCCTCGGTCAATGCACATGAACATCGCGATTTGGGCCGACGTGATGATATCTGGTCCCTTTTTTACGTCATGGTTGAATTCGTCGCCGGACAATTGCCGTGGCGACGTATTCGCGATAAGGAGCTTGTTGGCCAGATGAAGTTAGCTATGGATAATAAAGAACTTGCGATAAAATCGGGACTGCCACATGTTGTCACTAACAAGTGGACGTCACATTTATCATCTCTCGATTACAAAAGTAAACCAGATTACAAGGGGCTTGCAGATGTCCTCCACTCCTGGTTAAAAGACAATGGAGTACAGCCAAGTGATATGTATGACTGGGAACAAGGAATCGCTGGAGTTGTCGTGCATACAAATAATCGACCAGAATCTCAAAGGCTACACTGCAGAACGCCGGTTAAACGAAGCAGCTCAAACGAGAATATAAAACAAGTGGCTCAAGGTGGTTTCTGTCCCAGTACGCTGCGACCCCCAACATCAAAACACGCCCTGGAAAGTGTGAACGATAATGCAACACTTCGAAGACCATTAAATGCGCTGAAGCCTCGTGGTGGGACATCTAATTATTTAGCTCGAAAGTCTCGGAGTGTTAATCGATCACGAGCAGGTTGTCCTGAAAGAAGCGATGCTGCGATAGTGGAAGACATGGCACTAGACACAGCAAACCGATCAATCGAGACGCTGCTCCTTCAAAACAATAGGACATGCTATGTTGATATTCGGAGCGAAACCTCTCGAGGAGACGATAAAGAAACGGAATCGCCTAACGAAATATCAGCTAATTTAAAGTGGGCCACCAGTCAACATGCTGTGAAACATGAAACGGATTTGTCGCGTCCCTCTGCGGAAAAGACAAAAAACAATTTGGCTCCGCTTGAACGGGGACCCAACGCCTCATTGACGCAATTATCAACAAAGAAGGACTCTGTTCCCGTGGAGATTCAAAACGATTCCATTGTGGAATCACTCAACAAATCACCTTCAATAGAAAGTAAGTTGGATTCGTACGCTTAATTCCATGAAAGAACGCATCGCTTTTCGACATTCCAGATGTTCCATGGGCAGCTGATACTATTTAGTCAGTACGAGTTTTAACTCGGACGTAAAAATGGGCCTGAAAATTCCGTCTCCGGAAGTAAATAGTCAATTTTATAGGTGACTTTGTACATTGGAAGACCGTCCCACCTCACCCACAAATAAATCGCCGATTCAGTGAATTTATACGTATGCCACACTAATATGATCAGCATTAATACAACTTTCGCCTTCAGAAGAAAAAGGTACTCCGAATATCAAGGCATGGTGTTCCATGAACTATGATAAAATTGTTTAGATACACACAACCCTTACATTCCATGTTGTTCGGCACATTATTCATGAATGCAAACCGCTTGAGTGCCTGATAAGCTTTGTAAAGTGACTTTGTTCCCCGTGTCAATGTCGATCTTTTCAGCTTGTAGCATGTAGCATTACATTTAGCTTCCCACACCGAACATGTGCGACCGCCCAGTGATTCAACCACGATTTACTGGGACGTCCGTGCCGGATGCCCGTCAGCCACGTCGTGCATCAAGCTGACTCAATCAAATAAGTCAGTGCGTCCCAAAGTTGCCAGTCATCCTCGTACTAAATATCTCAATACAGCATCCACTTACCGACACTCACCTGAAACCAGCTCATTTGACTTGAAATTAATTTTTTCAACGTGAATTAAGTGGGTAACCATTGAGAACTTGACGATTTCCCACTCTTGAAAACCCATTTTAGATGAGAAAATGGTTGATAGTTTTGGAATTTTCCATTATGTTGTCAGCCGAGCGAATATAGCTATATATATATATATACATCAAATAGTAGTAGTGAACAGCACATAAACCAAAATAATATTATGAGTACTGGTTGGTGACCCGTTCGCCCGGCGTGTTAACTCTTGGTTTTTGACTGTTCACACACACATACAGGCCTCAGCAAGCTGGTGTACCGTGTCTGTTTGCCACCAATGTATACGGGTAACCTAACCGTTACCGATGCTCTTTCATTCCGGATGTAATTTAGTTAGCAGGTGGAAATAAATGATCAATTTTTACTAACCCGTATGCGATTGTTTGTTGACGACAGCTACGTTAGGGTCATGGCAACGAAAAATGTGTTTCATCTTACACGGTAAGACTCTCAGGGTCAACTAGTAATGTCCCGAGCCTTAGATGCTTTTCACAGGATTAGGACTTAGTCGTACCAGGGTTCTACAGCCATTCCAATACTCGAACAATTACTGTCCAAGGAACGCACTAGTCTAGGCGCATTTTCCTCACAGTGGTTGTGCAGTAAATTATGTACTGCTCTTTGCTATACATTTATAGAAAAAGACTATCAGTCCCAACAAGAGTATCAAAGGATTATTATCTAACGTTTGCACAGAAATTTCATAAATTTTTCACGTGAAGCAATAAAAACAAAAAAAATTATGAGTGGAGAGTGCAGTTTGGGGAAGGCCATGCTGACCTTCCGTATAAAGCGCTTGAATCTCTGTTATTCTAATTAACTGATTAAGGTGAAGAAATAAACAGGGGATTTACTGAAGATAAAAGTTTTCTCAGCTGCTTACGGTTGACTCTTAAAATAACCTTGCGCCAATGACGCATTTGATAGAGTTTCTTTAGAAGGGGGTGGAAGCTTTTGTCTCAAGGGTGTCCACTGTTCGACTCAGCCGGAAATTCAGTTTGCCATCAAAGGAATGAAGACATCAGTGAGAAGTTTGAGTTTCTGGATTCACATAACGAGTGGTCTGACCTTGAATGTCGTGCTCCTCAAAGTTTACTTGCATAGACTGTTTAATTTTGTGGAGTAATTCATAACCTGAGGGAGTGACAAGCAAACGCGCGCAATTTAACAGGGACAGAGGATGAATGGTCACACATCACGTAACCATTAGACTAGAGCGACAGTTCGACAGAATCATCCATTAGTAGACCTGTTCCATCTCCTCTCAGGGTACCACACCGCCTTTACGGGGTATGTTAGTATATACGGGGATCCTAGTAATGAAAGTGATACCATAGCAACTAGACATTTTAGCTGTCCGTATTTTCCGTATATACGATGTATAGGACAGCTTGTTTTGTACACACAGTCTGCGTGCATCACCGGCTGCCATGGATACCAAAGAGTGAAAATGGAGATCTGCGTCAGAGGATAATTTATCACACTATGTAGCTGGCGCAATCACGTCAGTTTAATCTGATATCGATTAATCGGTCAAGATCTTCAAGACAACGACTAGGCTTGGAATAATCGCATACCTCGGTAACATTTCGTTCTGAAATTTCAGGGGTTCTCTACCTACAATCAGTCAGTCGCTTGCCATTGACAACCAGATCACTAACCAAACAGCGGTGATTTGAGTAACAAATGAAATTCGTCTGCTTTCTTTTTTTCAGGTCGATCAAAAAATACTGATCGCCAAGCGGCTGAAAATACTGGAGAGGAAGTGAAACAAACAGGTGACAAGTCCCGTTGTTTAGGCAGCGAACTGCAGCAGAAATCTCCACTGTTCACAAAGGAGAAAAGCAAAACTATGGGAAAGACAACTGCTTCAGTAGATTATAAGGCCCAGACCGAGCCCGGTGAGAAAAAGATTGCTGTCACTAAAGAATACTCAATCACCAAAGGCATTGCGAATACTCTGGACCCACATCCACGCGAAAAAATCCAAGCCATTATTCAGAACCTTTTGACCAAACACAAAGGACAGACGGGCCACGGTTTGGTAGCAGGATCTGGTTATGACGACACACATGTCAACCCTAACCAGAAAGTCCTCATTGAACAAGAAAAAGACCCAATACCTGCGCGACCCTTGTCGTCACCGTTGACTGGACGACCAGTGCTCCATACAAAGGCGGTATTTTTACTGGGAGAACAGGATGGGAAAGTGTCTGCTTCAAGTGCTGAATTAAATGGCCTCAGAACCTCCAGTGATACGCCTTCGCAAACCCAACCGCGTATGGCAGAACCACATTACGGATCTCCTTTCTTACGTCTTTCAATGACGAACCTTGCGCAACCAAGCTCCAAACAACGTCATACTTTTCTGACTGTACCCCGCAGAAATTTAACTAGCCAGAGGCCGACCCTTACTTTAGATAGACACCTCACTTCAGAGGCACAGAACCAGGCCAGGAGTGAGTCAGCCACGAATCTGGTGTTTTCCGAGGATAAAAAAGGTTTGGAAAACGGAAACGATAACCACCCCTTTGATGAGCATGATTTCGAACCGGTAAGCATACCAAAACCGTTACCTCGAAAGCGACGAAGTGTATGCTTTCAAACCGGTGACCCTTCAAAGCATATCGGGGACGCTTTTCTGGATTTGAATGATTGTCCCTCAAATGGTGTGGCAGAACCAAGATGCGTCACTAGTCTGGAGGCAAAGTTCCTTCCCCAGAGGACCATGTGCACCAATGATACCAAATTAATGACCGGTACCACTGTTTTGGGTCCATGTAACAACTTAGGCACTACAGATTATCTATCGAAGCTGAACGTGAATAGACGGAGGCAAATATCCCAGAATAAGCTAACGGTAAAAAACTCAATTATTCCACCTGCACACAAAGCCCTACAGCCTGAGCTAACGGGACATCCACTCAATCGAGCACTTCGGTCAACCTGTGCGAATACAGAAGAACCGATTTACGAAGGGTCCCACATATTTTTCAACGCAACTGACAGGAAAAGCAAGCAAGGTGTCTCAAACGGATTACTATCCAGGACTGCTATATCGACGCAGCCAATGACGGCAAATATGAACAATCTGACTGAATCTACGGTGAAACAGGTGAGTGATATTCCAGAATGTTCGGTCAGTTAAGCTTGGTTTCTCGCAGTGACATTTGTTTTAAAGTAGGGAGGACATTGAGATGAGCTGGTCATCGAGGGGTGGATCTTGAGATTGTCATTTGCAGCGCAACCTGCGTTGTGACACACAAGTATATAAGTTCAGATTGTTTAGGATATGACATCAGGATTAACAGGAGTAAACTGAGTGGTATATTCTATTACTATATTAATAGGTCTAATTAGACAACCTCTCTTAAGCTGGATAACCTTTGGCTAGTAACAATTTCTTCCATTTTTCGGTTGACAGAATCAACAGTCGAACAGAATATCAACTATTTCAAATCCCCAGTTCTTTAGAAAAACAAGAAATTTAGAGGAAAATGATATTTTCAATCAGAACAAAGGACGAATAAATTCTGATTCGAACACCGATGCTGCCAACGCAACGTTCAAAACTAGACCCAGCGTTGCTCAATACATTGCCTCGAGACCCCCAACGGTCACTCCACGGTCATCATCTGCCTTGGGATCGAGGTCTGGAAGAAGCGTATTAGATGGTTCGAACGCACAAGACTCAATTTTCCCAACGTTACACAAAAACTTGCCCCAGCAACAGCATGGTTCATTCGGACAATCATTTACTGAACTCATTGTACCTTTAAGCAAACGACTAACTGAAACGCTTCGTGCCGGACGGTCTAGGTCACGAAAAAACAGCGCGTCGAGTGCTGCGGATGAGAGGACTTCTTCTATGGTTACGACCACCGTAAATTCAAATGGCTTGGCATGGCATCCTCCTGTTGTCCGACCTCATTCGGCAGACAGGTTTAGTAACCACAGTGGACAAGATGGCTCAACGAATTTTGGATCTGGTTTTGTCGGGAATGAATACCCCAGACCGCTTTCCCGGAAAATGTACGGCGGAAGCTCCAACACGCTTTCCAATCCCCACGTTCCTCAAGGTTCCCGAAATCAAACACCAGTTCAGTTTTACCACACATTCCACAGGCAAGATAATTCGGGGAAGCCCGTAAATGAAAAACCGAAGCGTTGGAGATTTTAATGACTTTTCGTTCACACTACACTCGTCACCGTCTTCCGACACAACCTGTGTTACACAAGAAATTGCAGGGTAGATTCTTTTCTACATTACCGGATGCAACCGAGAAACTGCAAATCTGCAAGATTGCAGGTCTTTTTCCAACTTTTTTATTGTCTTTGGTCTTCTTTAGTTCACCGCCTCCGGCGAGGTGCCTTTTTTAATTTCCTGAATTTTTACACCAGAAGGAGTAAAATCACACGGACCTACTTGAACATCGCTAGGAGTGGCACCAACGGTATGCGTACACATTACTTTATAACCCGTAAGCACAACGCACCACAGACAAACACTACTATGTAAATTTGGAATTCGCTGGCAAACAACTGAAACACTTCAAAGATATGCTTACCCAAATGCAACCAGAGACACAAGTCTTCGGCATTTTGGGCAAGAACTTGCCCATTTTGTAAACCCCGTGATTTCCCTCCATTTTACTGAATTATATTAGTACTCTTTTCTGATGGCTTTCCCCCTACAAGAAAGTCAACTTTGATATGCAGTGTACAAACGGTAAAAATCTTGGAAAAATGAAAGTGTTCAGCAGACTGCATGGAAACTGCAACCACGACATATCACAGTGCACCTAATGGTGCTGGGGGACAGCACGAACCCTTGTTATACTTTCGAATGTCCGCATTCTTTCGAGATTTCCATCGTCTTTGAGTATGTATTCGTGTTTTTCACAACTCGCCAGTAGACCGCGAGTAGTGGACATGATATTTCTGTTGCTTGACTCAAAATAACATATCTTTCTGAGCGCTTTGATTTTTATGAATAATATCAGCTGCTCTTCATATTCGTGGCCAGCACAATGGTTAAGTTAATTTTCAAAATAAAGAATGATACTCACTACGAGTATTCTTCTTGTTTAGTTACCTACCTAGTATCAATCATGCAACTGTTCGCACTATTACTAAACGTTTGGTATATACGAGTATTCTTCTTGTTTAGTTACCTACCTAGTATCAATCATGCAACTGTTTGCATTATTACTTGAAAAGCAATCCAAATGTGATTAATATCAGGGAAGGTGTTTTTGTTATACACCAGAATCACTCCAAGTTAATTGAATTTTTGTATTCTGAAACGTCAAATGTCTGCTCACAATGCAAGCAATAATTACTCTGTCACCTATCTTTTGATGACATATCTACCTTTTTATCCTCTTGAAAAAACATGGCAAAGCAACCAACTACGCGATTCAAGTCAAATTATTTAGCTGAACTCTCGACTCGCATCATCGAAGGGGATACTTGAAAACGTTGTAAGCGAGGATGAATTTAAAACTCGGATCGAGAAAGCTAACGCCCTACCCTAGGATTAGGCTCATCAAGGCGCAGACGCTCCCTATTCCGCTACGGAAAGCCCAGGANTTACACGAAGTTCAGTCTCATTTCTTGCGAAATTCAGAACACAAGATTGGTGGAAACTTGGGGACTGTGCCTACTTGATGAGTCAAAAGCAGAGTGAAACAGGCTTCGGGTTATTGAGGAGTTTTCATTAACCTTATGTGTAGCGCTGTTTAATAAAATTAGACACCTTAGCCAGTGGTTATCCACTGCGAGCTCTAGCGCTTCACTGATAATTTGGTACGACGTACATCCCTGAAACTATCCGAACTTTTGCTACAAATGCGGCAAGTGCAGCCTAACTACGTACATATCTCTTTACAGACTTTAAGAACAGATACCACAACGGTATCTTTAACGACGTGCTATACACTGAGCCCAGATCTTTTAAACAGCTTATAATACCCAGAATGCAGCAGCAACTTGAACAATAAATGTAATCCAGAAGAGACATTTGATACAAGGAAACTTGGTGAGTGTACTTTCGGTCAGCGTTCACTCTCCCTCTAGAGCAAATGGATGCATCATATAAGGCCTGATGACAGATATGTATTGTACTACTGTCCAGCAAATCAGCACCCATATTCCGATCTTCCATGAGAAAAGCTATCACAACTGGCCTACTCATAAGTAGTTCGTGAACCTCACAGTTTTTCGTCATTCAGTTCATTCCTTAGATGTGAACGAATATGAAAGTAATGAGTAAATACTGGCCGAGGCTTAGCATCCACAAAGGATCTTCCTTCTCAGATCAGGATGACTGTAAATCATGGAAATTCCAACTAATATTTCGGCGCCTTCTACAGAGAGGAGAAATCTCCCTTAGCTGCTCTCATCTTCAAGAGGTATTAACGGAACTTCCCAAGCCTCGGAAACTGCCCTTACTAGCAGACCGACATGGAAATTCCAACTAATATTTCGGCGCCTTCTACAGAGAGGAGAAATCTCCCTTAGCTGCTCTCATCTTCAAGAGGTATTAACGGAACTTCCCAAGCCTCGGAAACTGCCCTTACTACTAAGCAGACCGACCATAGGTTAAAAAGCGAAAACCATAAAAACCAAGATCGCAATCTTCGAGGATGCTTATTTGTGAAAAACTTTGCAACGACATGTGGGATAAAGCGGGTAACAAACAAGGAAATCACTTCAGTGGAAAGTGAGTTTTAATAAACGGGGGATTGATACACACTGGGTCAACGTAGAAACAATACAACCAGAAAGGGCAATTATTCACAAGTTATCTACCTTTGGTTAATCCTCTGGTATATTCTGTTGTTAAGTCCCACCTGGAGGAGACCGTGTTTATTTACTGCCTCGAGTTTGGGAAAAGCTGCAAGTCGGTGGAAATGAGTAAGGAAGTGAAACCTAAGCCACTATAAAAGCCTGATGTTTTCCGTTTGGTTTTCTGGGATTTTGTTTTTGATTCCAGAACTTCATGAAAGTTCTGTGAATGACGTATGATCTTGCCGAGTGATGTTTTAGTGTGTGTTCTTTTCAAACATTTCCTAGTACTATACATAACATTACATACAAAAGAAAGTAAAATAGGGCTGAATTCTACAGTAATCGCCATTTAGATTAAGACGTATTGTCCTAGCATTCAGGCAGTATGAGAAATTCGTCAGGAGTAGTCCGGAAGAATCGGCTGGGGATTTTAGCAATAATAAGTCTATAGGGGTTGGAGAAAAAGGTCGAGAATAAAATCGGCAGGATGTAGCCATTTTCCTGCAGTCCTGCAGCATAGCACATTCTGACTGTTGAACACACCGAACCCCAAAGCTAAGTTTCATCACGGCATTCTGGCCATGTGACCTCAGCTGGTGATGAAAATTTTTCAATCCATTTGATCAGCATAGCAGATCACCGAACAACGGACTGTAGTTCGATCATTTCCGGCTACTGAGCTCAGCATTTTGTTGAAATTACCGGAGGGCTGAGATTTGTGCAGAAATAGATAAATCACTGGACGATGATAGCCGTCTTCCCCTAAGGTTTTGAAAACAGGCCTCGTGGTCTGCAATCTGAAGGAAAAGAAGGTTTTCTATGACCTCCATTGCTCTCATCTTTGACAAATCTCCCCATGACTCTCACTGTAACAATTGTCGGGTGCGTCATATCTCGGGCGCATCTAACCAGCTGACCCTCATCACTTCGGAAGAACGGGCTGATTTCCTTCAATGTTTTTGAAGATCCGGAAACTCCACCACACATGCTGTAGGAAAACGGCTAGCGGACACTTGGATTTCGGAGTGACTATGGACTCAGTTGACTGGAGTGGTTGGATCTCTGTGAATTGTGTTTGAATAAACAAAGGATCACACGATAAAATGCATTAAAAGTCAAAATATGTACTGTTGTACAGTCTATTTTTCTTGACAGATAACATCAGCTCAAGTGAATTTGAACTCCAATGAAATCACGTCATCGATATGTTTTCACGAAAAAACGCATCAGTTTAGGATTGGAAAAAATGATGTTGATCTCTTCTCCTGTCGAAGAGATGTAAGCTATTCTAACCGTCTATTAGCTTCTGTGCGCAATTTATGCTTTCCCGCTACAAAGTGGGGAACCCTGATTCATGGCTTGATGGAAATTGATCCTACTGACAACCCTACTGGATACAAGTTAAAAATAGTCGATAGCCTAGTCTAGTTAAGAAGCAGGAGAATTGATCTCATTGCGAACATCGAGTGCCCGTGATAAACAATTAGTACAATGATGCTGGAGCCGAATCTATTTGAAGGATGGGTTGAAAACCACTGTAAGCCCTCTACAAAACAGAGCTCCTTTGTTTAAGTGACGTGTACGGAAATGCGCGTTGCGAACTTTGAGTCCACTCGGTAGTAGGAAAGTGTTCCTCATATTCGCGTTCGTTAGCAAAGTGTTCATCGGGTTCATCACCAAGGTATGTTAAGTGCAAAAAAGGATGCTTGAATGGAGTGATACTGTCACATCATTTGCCTTTTCATTTTGTTTTTCGTATGCCATCCAAATGCTTTGTACGTCACGGCTTTAACATGCATGCTGAGAACGGATGGAGAGAAAATGATTTGGAAAGAAAGTGATATGACGTGCGAATACAAGAAGGTCCTACGGAACAGACCACCTTTGTTTGATCGTGAGTTCCTTGTTGGTGCCTGAAAAGCCCTGATTGACGCTAGTTGCAGAAACTAAAAGTGTGGCTCAAAATTGGGGCCTATAAAGCGAGTGGCCCAGAACCTGCGGTCACGGTCACCTTATTCGGTGAAAAACTGCATATGTGGTAATGTGTGCTCCTAAACATAAGGTGCTTCTAGAAAGTTGTCCTGTTTTCATGTAAGCTGAGTCCAGATTTGTTTGGATTCCTGGAACTGACAGGGTTATATAGTTGAGTTTTATGGACAAGGAATGATAATAAAGGAGTAGCGGCTTTGCCAACGTTTATTTCGAGTCCTAATAAACTAAATTCTCATGAATAGCCAAACAGTCTATTTAAATAGTTCCCCACATGTGAAGATGTATTCAGATCCCAAAAAGCTAAGTCTTGTGAGGCGTGTTGCTCATCCAATAATAAAAACTAGTAGGACCTCCATGAAGGAAGTTTCTTGGATACAAATTCAACTTTGATAAATTGCGATGAAGCTTTGCTACCACGTTACTTTAGTAGGTATCCTTGGTATTTTTCTTCTTGGTTGGCCTACATGCTCTCCTTGAGTACGTTGGCGATCTTCCACCTGGACCTGATCGTAAATGAGATAAATCAAGTAACAATTCAGTTAACAAGAAGACGACGAAAAATGTTCAAGAGCACCTAGCAACCTCGAAATAAGACTTTTATTACAGCTAAATTGTGTGCTCCCCTCTGGATTTCAGTGAAGCTAGTTTTTGACGCCATAAATGACTCATGTCATCATATCATGACCACGCTTTGGTAGCTTGCTGATTGCCTTTGTCTGCTATAGGTCAACTGTAGCTGATTGGGCATCTGAGGTATACATAGCAAGCAACAGTTTGAAGCCCTTCAACTTGATGTTTGAAGTTTGCAGTATAAGACTACATATCGTGGGGTAACGTTTTGCGATTCGAAAGCAAAAAACATGCCAAAACAATGGACTTCTTCAGACAGCCTAACTAGAGTACATTATTGGCACTCCTGACAGTCTGACGAAGTGGTGCCATCAGCGCAGCCAATTATTCACCCCTCTGTCTTATCAGAAACGTTTTGAAGCCAACGCTTACCCGGCGGATTTCTTTTTGTTCCGTATGTGACTTCGATAAGACTCCACTTGAGAAAAAACGTATCAAATTAGACATATTTGAGGGTAGCATAGTCTTTCGCCTAATATGACCATGGGATTCAGAACAAAAAAAGTATACTCGACCTTTTCATAAAGGACACTACTCACTAGGTTGCTGAAAACTCTTCGACAGCCCATGAACGGTTTCACCCTTTTTGGGGCTCATCAGGTAAGCGCAGTCCTCGAGTTTCCGTCAAACTTATGTTCTACTTGAATCCTTCCTTTATGAAAATATACTGCGATATCTCGAATATCGTGCCAAATGAATCATGGGGCGGCCTGTGTGCAGCACATTCAGTTGCAGAATATCGTTAACGAGAGATTCAGTTGAGTCACTCGTGAAAACCATATTGATTTGCAAATGAGTGCATTTCTCGAATACTCGACCCTGTTTATGCGTCATAACTAGGGCGAACTGGACCAATGACCGTCTTTAGCTTTTCAGCCTATCTATCTATCTATCTATCTATCTATCTATCTATCTATCTATCTATCTATCTATCTATCTATCTATCTATCTATCTATCTATCTATCTATCTATCTATCTATCTATCTATCTATCTATCTATCTATCTATCTATCTATCTATCTATCTATCTATCTATCTATCTATCTATCTATCTATCTATCTATCTATCTATCTATCTATCTATCTATCTATCTATCTATCTATCTATCTATCTATCTATCTATCTATCTATCTATCTATCTATCTATCTATCTATCTATCTATCTATCTATCTATCTATCTATCTATCTATCTATCTATCTATCTATCTATCTATCTATCTATCTATCTATCTATCTATCTATCTATCTATCTATCTATCTATCTATCTATCTATCTATCTATCTATCTATCTATCTATCTATCTATCTATCTATCTATCTATCTATCTATCTATCTATCTATCTATCTATCTATCTATCTATCTATCTATCTATCTATCTATCTATCTATCTATCTATCTATCTATCTATCTATCTATCTATCTATCTATCTATCTATCTATCTATCTATCTATCTATCTATCTATCTATCTATCTATCTATCTATCTATCTATCTATCTATCTATCTATCTATCTATCTATCTATCTATCTATCTATCTATCTATCTATCTATCTATCTATCTATCTATCTATCTATCTATCTATCTATCTATCTATCTATCTATCTATCTATCTATCTATCTATCTATCTATCTATCTATCTATCTGTCAATCTATTTATCTATGTCTATCTATCCATCTACTTCACAGTTAGCTCAATCAAGTTAACCAAACGATCAAAACTTTGAATGTTACTGCAGGCAACATAAGAGCACAGAAAATAGAATGAAGGTAATCTCTTCAAGATTAAAAATAGTAACTATTAAGATGGGTAATAGTTGAGGGCTTTCGGAACCGTTGGGGTTCCAAGGAAATCAAAGTACAATGAATCTAAAGAATACAGAAAGCTGATGGAACAGAATTACGGCGACATTTCACCAATCTTCGGCTTACGCACTATACCATACAATACCTTATTATTTCAGTCTCCTCGCTTTGGTGGATTAGTTCACAATGTTCCATCATTTTGGAAATTTGGTTACCCCGGAGATGACATTCATCTAGTACGCCAGATTTGTCATCCCCAAGCGCGCGTTCCACTTCATACACAGCACAACCTACAGATTTGTCTCTAATTGTGTCCACATAGATGACTATTGTTCCCACCTCCAATTCATCGCTTTTCACTTGTTTATTTCATAGGCGGCGTTTTAGAGCAAAAAACTGCAAATTTCGGGAGTTCAACCAGTTTCCTACTTTTGGATAGTTATTATTCTCTACGCTCGTACGCCTCTGAAGCTTCGGCATGGATTGTTGAAGTTTCGTGGCCTAATTCCTCACGTCATTTTGGTCCAGCTTTGGCAAAGAGACCAGGAGGTAGAGCCATTGCGAGATTCACTTATGTACAACTATAGTTCATATTGGGCTACAAGTATCAGATGTGAGAATCCGAGAACAATTAACCGACAATAAATTAAATACACTTGTTGGCTAAAAAAGCGCTAAAAACTGCCAACAAGATACAGAAAAAAGACATCGTTTGAACGTAATGTGGTGTGCCGCAAAGTATTATTTGTGAACCGGTGGATATTCCAAGTTGTGAATTTTTTTCAGAGATGATTCAAAAGACTACAAAATTAGAGACTTCCGTTATCTTATACAGAACATCTTGATACACACTCCTGATATTTCTTCATGCAAGAAAAAGTGGTTACTTCATTGACGAAGGGCACTCAGTTACACACGGTGTTGTTACCTTATGGCACCATGAACGGTGTCATATATGGGAGTTATCAGCCACCTTATAAGAAGCGCGTCTTGTCAAGATGCATCATGCGTTTAGGCACACTGTTACTCAGTTGGTCGGTCCAAAAACCAGGAATCAATCCATTCAACCGTCCAACCATTGATCAATCCGGATATCCACCAACCTGTTCATTCATTTATGCGTACATCTACGCACTCGTTGATTCATTAATTCGTTAGTTCAACCATTATCCCATCGATCGGCTCATTCATCTATTTGTTTATTCATCCACTGATTCATTCAGTCGTTCATTCATTCATCCCTTCATCAATTTCTTTGTACGTCCGTTGAGTTAGTCAGCCAACCAGTCAATCATTCATTTACTGTCAGTCAGTCACCCAGGTAACCTTGTCACCAATATGTCTCTTATTCACTCAGTTGGTCAGTCGGATTGACGGAATTTCAACCCTTAAACATATGCTGATCAAATATCGGCGTAGTAAGTCCAACAAACAGACTCTTGCATCTCCCAAGTAGATTCTCGATAATACGTGACTTCGCCGCACGTGAGTTTAAACTTTAAATATCGACCAGTTAGTACGTGTGTGCTAGCTGGACAGATTCCGATTGAGAAAACCCAGCTGCGACTACGCTCGAAAATGAAGTCCTCAAAAACAAGCCATGAAAATTACTCACTTCTTAGACAAGCAAACACGAATAACTCTTACGTAACTAATTTTGCTGATATGTTACACGTCCTTCCACCAATTCACAAGTTGCGACGCTCGATCCAGCGATTTCACAAGCAGGCATCTCCACTAACACACCAGCAGCAGTTGAACAAACGATTTGCTGAGCACTGGGAGAGACAATTAAACAAATTCTTGAAAGACCTGAATATATCTGATTCATCAAACGGGTCTATATCTGCGGTGGGAGCTGAGAAATACCTGGACGACCAGGATGAAAACCCATTTGCTTTGAGCGGACTACATAAACTGGATGCATCTTCCCACACTATGAATAAAGAGCTACCTGATTCTGCCCAAAACCTAAGCCTTCTGCTTAATTCCATTGATCAACGCGCTGCAAAATCAGAGATGACAAATTGGAAATCACATGGCACTCTCCGGTCTTTTAGCCCAATGACGGACACAGCAATACCAAACTGTTTGCAACCGCAAACAATTGAACAATTGGTAAACGATCTGGAGCCTTTGGATAGGAAAAATTCTTCCCGAATATCCAAGGTAGTTCATGAAACTCAAGCTCAGAGAAAGCTATGTAGAGAGTTACGGCAGACCCGTAAATCTTCCCCACGAAAACCGAAATACCTAGCGGATAGTGGCGAAAGATTCCCAAAACCACAAGTCGAGCACGTTTTGGCGTTGCTGAAACCAAAGAAAAGGAATCAAATTCATTTTCCTTTGGACCCTACTGATGAAAATATCGGGGGGCAGAATGCTTCTAACGTTGGCACGCTCTCTCACAGACAGAGTTCTTCTGAGGAAGAAGCCTTCGGGTCAACCGTTCGTCGGTCTCCATCCACCGTTGGATTTGAAGCCGTTCGTGATAGAAGACAGTCGTTATTTGCACTGCAGCAGCTGCGACTGGCCAACCAACGGAGACTTGAATCAGAGTGGGAGACGGAACTCTGTCAAGCGAGTGGTGCCAGAAAATTTAGAGTTTTGTACTATACCTATAGGGTGGGTAAGCACGAAGTTTGCTCACTGTGTGTTTGTTTGATAGTATCCTAGAAAAGCCCTTCAAGCTTATATTAATCCACTGTGTCTTCAGTGTTTTACGATTTTGTTGTTGCTCATCAGAATCACTTTTCGTGTCATCGTCACGAACCGCAACGCTCGTGTTAGCTACTTGTGTTCGACAATTTCAAGTCGAAAATAGTCCTTGTGTTGTGTAGGCAAACTGAATTAAGTGCACGCACTCAATCACCAGGATTTTGGCGAGAAAAGGAAGCTGTTCTATATGAAGACAAAACACAAACTAACAGGATGAAGACGGATTCCAACTTTTCTCAGTAGGAAAAAGATATGTACTCTTCAGTTTATCTCTTGCTGAAAAAGTTCCTCATTCGTGGATCCGGTGCGAACGAAAGAACGGAATATAGGGGTGGAACGAAACGCGACAGTATCCTTGAGGAACAGCTGCATAACATTACGACAACTTCACCATGGACACTGCCGTAGTGTCATGCTTCAAACGTGTGAATTCAACGGATTACTTGAAAATGACATCACTGGGTACAGAACAATACAGCAGTAAAAGTGAACTGGAACGAACTAGCCGGAATTTCATCACTGTAGTGGCGATGAATGCTTTCTAGAATGTCCAGATGTTGACATTAATTCCTTTAGGCAAACAAAGCCTGTGAAAAGCCAACCGGGATCAGATTTCATAGAAAGGTTAGGTGGATCACAGAGGATGCTAGCGTAGGTTCATCACACTGGAAATGGTAGCAGTCACAGGGGCTCCTGTTTGTGAAACAGGAACTACAAGTGAAGCTTTCTTCTACTTTATTGGTGCTGCCGGCTGAACTAAAAATCTAGTTAACCAAAGTCTCCACCGATTATGTAGGTCGTTTAGTTTTGTGTGAACTCAGATCTAAAGCTCACTTAACTTGTAAGACTGCACATACATATAGTCATTATTAAACAGCTTTGGTTTGTTAATTAGTTTGCAGCAGGTATTCCATTTCTGTAAAGGGCATATAGAAAAAATGCAGACTTGTGTATCTAAATACATTCAGGAATTCACGGGACTTAGCAATACTAACAGATGATTGCGCACACCACAAGTGGTATGTTATACACCACTTAAATGTTTACACCGAGAGATCCAGCAATGCAATTTTATTTCAAGACCTTTACCAAGTTGAGTTTCCTAGTTTGTGTTTGGTAAGGAAGGTAGAAATTGCTGACCCGCTTATTTGTCCAGCGTCATCTTTATCATCATCATTACCAAATATTGGAGGAAAATGTCTTAATAGAGAGTGGACCAAAATGGTCCAAATGGTTGTACAAAATGTTCATTTTCCCCACACAGAATTCCTTGTACTACCGATGTGACCGTTCAAACTTACTCAAGTCATAAGTTAGCGGTGAAGCTGCCGTCGCATGCTCATTCAGTTTGTTACAAGATATTTTGCCTAGCCAATTCTATTACTGACGGAAGTGTCGATCTACTGGTGAAAGTCTGACCGGGCAGAGTTGCCTCGAAAATATCTTACACTCCGCCGAGTGTCAATACGAGGGCATGTTATGTACAGGCAAACTACAGAGCTTTTGCTTGTGTGGTTTTAAAAAAAACCGTTGCATCCCCTATCAAATGACATGCATCACAGTGTTGCCTAAAGCTAGTAGGATACTGTCTATAAGGAATGTGAAACCCGTGAGTTCGGTGACGACTTACCAAAGTAGGCCCTGAAGTAGCAGTTGACTGCGTATCAGATGAAAATTGTGAAATTTGCCCTCGTCTTGAACCGAAGAATATTTGTTTGTCATATATAAGGGGGTGCATTTCAGTACATTACAATGGTGCGATTTAATGAAATGCTGATCCAGCTGCTCCTATCTACATTACACTCTTGATTCCTTATCTAGCTTTAGATTGATAGCAGACTACTCGGTTATGACGAAATAAAAGACCACGGTGATAGTGAAGGGTAGACCTTAATATCTTTGCAAAAATCTGTCATTCACCCTGGTTTTAGTTCGTCGAACTGACAATACGGGTGTTGCTCAGACATCGTGGTTTGCTGAATATGGTGAGATACTCAAGATATTGCTCGTACTCCCAACCATCAGCTCCGACCGAAGTGCAGCCCATCTCCTGCCCGCTTCTCCAAGCAACTTTAAAGAGTTTCATGTTCATTGGCCCCCAACTGAAATCCAATCAAAACCAAGTAACCTGCATATCAGATCCGCCGTTGTACGGTACTCAACTACCGTTTTACATGAGGTCCCTGCGGATTGGTCCAAAACCGACTGCATTCAATAAGCAAATCGAATCTGGAGGGAAGAGAACAGGATCCCGGTCACCATCACTTTGGAGATCTAGGTTTATTAGTCGAACAGCAAATGTGAAGATGAGAACAAAAAAAAGAGCCTGGAGTTCGGCAATCATTCCGCAGCGCTTGTTATCTGATGCTGTGCTTGAAGACAGGAAAGAGCTTCTTGTTAAACTAAGAATAACCTTACAGCAGATTATTGCATCCGTCACGCGGAATGTAATAGGAGATAATGATTTCCACAATATACGGAAGGTAAGATGAAGTTGCACAAACGCTGCTCTCCATTCCCACTCGGTATTATAACAAGTTAGAGCTTAGTTGGTCTGAATACTGCACACATACGTCCCAGTTTGCTGGTTTTAGGGATTTCTTCATTTAATCATGGCCAGTGTTTTGTTTTAATAGCGACGGTAACTTTGGTCATGACTGACGACAAACTCTTTGGTGACAGAAATTAACAGTAAGCCATATGTATGATTATGTTGCTACCAAAAAACTTTTACAGCATATTTATACACTCACCTACATGTTTGATAATGCAGTGTGCAGTTGAGTATGCTTAGATAGTTAAGTCACAAGGTTATCTTAATGTTATGCAACATGGCCAATGGAAAATGTGCCCTCCATGTACCTTTTTAACTTGGAGCGCTACCATGTTTCCAAAGTTAGACGTTTGTGGTTGCTCGGGTGCTACTTATACACCGTTGGGAAGACAGCTCTTCCTGGCTACTTTTATGAGCGAACCCTTGTTCATTCCCTACTGGAACCTGCTAGACCTAAGAGTTCGAGAGTGAAACCACCAATCACCTTGCAGTTTATGCTCTATCCACTATGTCACTGATTATGAGTGTTTTCTGAGACAGTTCGAGTTAAGCATGTATCAGGACAGCCTCGAAAGTGTCATGTTCGGGTTTCTGGTGATAATATAACAAAAGTCGTCTACCGAGCATTCAGTATCCCGCTAGAAGTAGGGATCAACGCGCAACGGATGAGAATTTCACATGACTGAAAGACTTGAGGGAATAGGGTGAACCTGATCATCTTACATTCACCTTATTGACTGGGGGCAAGACAGTTACTGTTCTTTAACAAGATAAATGAATTTTTGTGCGCATTTTGTGGGACGTTAGCGGTACGTATAACATAAGGGGGGATTTCCGAGACCCAAACGCTCAGATTCCCGATGAAGAATTTCTTGGAAACTCAGTAGCCAGATACAGGTAATACACATCTCATGAAAGTACGGTGGAGGTGATTTATATTCCGCAGTAGTTAGCTAATCAGCCATATATTTAAACTAACCTACGGTGTCTTGGATGACTTGAAAATAACGCCATTGAGATGGACTTTCGCTGAACTTTGATACACTTCAGTTCCAGTTGCTGAGCCTTCTAACAAACATAGTTCGAGACCGCTGTCGAGATCTTTATCAAGTGAGCCACTCATGCGATGCTTGTCTATGTCGGAGCAACCAGCTAAACAATCGGGAGGCCACGTTGCTGGAACAGATTCAAGATTCGGCCTGCTACACAATCGCCGTTTACACATACGCTATTGAGAAACGGGAGCAGGGGATGATGGTATCGAGTCAGATGCTTCGCGACCCTACACAGGATACGATGATCACTCACAGTTACGAGAAGGAAAATTTTGTCGTCATTGTGGTGGTTTACTTGATTCGAAAATATGTGTTCTTCAGCAATGGTGCGCGCAAGTTTCCGAATTACGCCAATTTGAATACGCTTTATAATTAGTAAGTCTTACTACTGAATCCAAATTAGCATCATGATGATTCCCCAGTCATTTGCACAATCCATCCATGTACCGTTGATCTCCACTTGTTTTGTTCGTAGACGCTATTTACGCAAAGGCCGGCCCTTCAGACAATGGTATAGTGGCATGTGTGTGCATGTACGAATGTGCGCAGTTGAGCAACTTACACGTTTTCGTGCCCCGTTTACTGATCTTGCCCTTACTTGTTCCGTCGTGATTTCTGTGGAACCTCCAATCAGAGTCATGAAACTGTCCTCGGAAGGAACGACCACAACCCCTATGAGCCAACATGCCCCGTTTACTGATCTTGCCCTTACTTGTTCCGTCGTGATTTCTGTGGAACCTCCAATCAGAGTCATGAAACTGTCCTCGGAAGGAACGACCACAACCCCTATTACCGAGCCAACATTCCGCTCATCGTTGTTCGATGTGCGGACCTTGGCATTGAGCTGCGCCAGTCAGTGACGGACCTGTGCACTTGTTGGTGCCACGTGTTGTGTTACTAGTACCATAGACTTTCGAAACCAATTTATCTTCCCGATATTCGCGATCATCAAACGTACGCATGACGCAGGATAACGTACCGGTAACGTCATCACTTTCCATACGAATCAGCTTTGACTTACTTATCTTTTGCTTCCTATTCGTCGTCCATGCAATCTCTCACATATCCAGCGGATTTGTTTTCCCAACGTCAATAGTTAGTCTTTTGTCGGAACTAAGTGAAACGTATTTAGCAACATTGTAACATTCTTCTGTTTTTGAAAACCACTGACGTAGAACACACTTACAGATCCAAAATACATTGAAAACAAACAGCATGACAAGTAGGATAATTCACAAGAAAGGGGTGGTCCAAAACTAATACCAAATTAGATATGTGGTGAAAAACACAAAGAATTTTCTTGGATTAATCGCCACTAGGACGTCAAGGGTCAGGATTCACCGTATGATTTTGCGTCAGAAACTTGAAAGCCTGGCTGAAGTCAAATGAAAGACTTCTGGTTCGGACGTTTATGGATTAATTATGTTTGATTGATATATTAGCGGTTGTTTTCTAATGGTACGTATCATTTATTTTGAAGTGTGATCAACTGTTCGAAATCAGTACACCTACGTGTAAAGTACTGGATGACACTCGTAATAGAAATCTCTGATGCTATGTTACAAGTGAAGAGAACTCAGCCAGTTTAGACTGAAGAGAATTGTGCGAGTTGAAGTTGCGCGGCAAAGTGCAATCTGGAGCTGCAGTAAGGCTCCCCACGTTTGCAAACAAATGGATCTTATTAAACAAAAGTCACTGGCTGGCAGATTGCCCCGCTGGCGTTCTGGAAAGCACTTCCGCTCTCAGTTTGATTTTTCGGTCTTCCCCCGATTTTTTCTCAAATGAATGTCTACACCAGATGGTCAATACCGCATACTGGATGATACAGGTTATCTTAATCATTCCAAGCATAAAACGCCCTGAATGACTTCTATCCGAGTTTGAGATGGATCCGGATGATTTGGACGGGTATATCAGTGCACACCGGTCCTCTGAAGAACAGGTCACCCAAATATGCGGGAGGAACTTGCAAAATGGGCTAGAATACGGTCTAGTATAACATTACACAAACAAGACAGGCCTTCACCAAAGTATATCTGACCTTCCGTCAGGAGAGCCGGGGACACCAGTCATCAGGTTGTCTGCTGAATTATTTTTGTGTATCGGTGGATGGCTGTCTTTAATCGTCTCACCGTGACCACCGACAGAGTAGTCAGTGGCACCACGCTAGATGTGATGCCAAGTGCACTGGGTCTTTAAGGCAGATGCTCAGGAAATGGTCATCCTGGCTGAACAGAGGGATAAATGACATCTCAGGCGTTACCTTCGGTCAAAACAGTCATTTTAGATGCGCGGTACTGTCTTTCCGCTAAAGAAGGAATAGGCTAATAAAAGGCAGCCCTATTCCTTTACTCCGCTCAGACGCCAAACTGGCCATGGCAGAAGTCAAATTATATAATTGCAGTCAAAATAAAAAGTTCAACAAATAAATCTCCAAGGCAGTGTGTAGCCAGCCTAAATCCCGTTACCTTGAGTCTAGGCAATCACACCGTCCTCTATAATGAGTATCCGGAAAGCAGTATAGTTGCTCACACCATCCTTTCCGTCCTGCAGTCCGTGAAAATTCAGAACCCTGCTTGACCGAAATGGTAACACGGTTGTTTTTATTGCAAGGCTCGCCACCATGGTTGCCACGGCTCAGAACAAAACAACACTGATTAATCAAGAAAGTCTCGGGGAAGCTGATGTTGAGCGCACCTTATTTGTGTTGGTTATTCAATAGTGGAGGAACTGCATCACATCGCTTTTTTTATCCTGTCGTCGCTCTAGAACACCATGAATTCAGTCCACACCCTAATTCAGTGCGGCTGAGGTTGACTCACCCAAGCCGTGTAATCATAGTGAGTGCACATATCCTAACGCTGAGCTCAATAGGTGACAAATAGGAGTTCTACACCGAATGTGATAGCCCCCTCATTAAAGTCAAAATAGCCACAAATTTCTGTTTCTGAGAAATTTAGTGAACGCGTCCATTCATTTTACTTCCTGGGACCATAACTCCTAATGCCTGGACTGTAAACGCCAAACATAGCCGTACCGTTGTTGCTTGTTGCATTGGAGTGATTGGCTACCGGCAAAAAGAGTGACGTGCGAAGTTGCTAAGAGTGATTCTTAGGGGTCAGTACCAAATAGAAAACACACAAAAAGACTGAACACGAGCCTAGATCCGCCGTTGAGTTCATAACAACGCTGGAAGTGACTTATAAAGACCAGTCATATGGACCAGGTCAAGTCAAACCATAACCACGTACGAAGGGCCATGCGGTTATATCCTTGATTTGGCATATTAGGAAGGTAAGTTAACACACTGCTGGAATTGGACCCCTTTGGGGTTAGAAGTTAGGTTGTTTCAAACTGTCTTCACAAGAAACTGACCTTGAAACCTTATATATCCAGGAGTGTTAGCAGCAAAGCAACGCTAAAGATGAAATTCAAAGCCACTACTCTGTAGACTGAGCTGCACTATGGCTAGATGGTACTAACCATGTTTGCCTGTTCTATTCCATGTGCGCTGCGGGTGACCGGGTGGCCATTTGAATGCACTGTGGGATTCAGCTTCCAGTCGTCTTCACTTGCACCGTCAATGACGAGTCACAAGCTGAGCATGTTGGTAGCTTTGGTGCTGATCGATCTGCGGTATTTTCCTCATAAGAATCAGTACGGACACAGAAACGTTCTGAATAGTATTTACAAACCAGCCAGACTGTGCTATTTTGGACGACAAATAACCTAAGACGATTCATAAAGCGGTCCATGTGACCAGGACCGCACGGCTAAAATAGGGAATCCTCACCAAAACGATGACTCTTAAGCGTGCTGAAGAAAACCGGCCGCCACAAAACCTTCATGCGTTTATCGTCACTAAGTGAACGTGTTTCAGCGCTAACTGGATAAAAATGCATCCAAAACCCCTTAACCGATTTTTCCAAGTTGTAAGCCAAAAATGTTGGGTGAAAATCCGAAATTTTGTCGAGTTTCTACATTGGAAAATTCAATAATTGGTGTGTTGAAAGTGGCCTGGAAATTTAGGTATTTAGCAAAATTACGGACGGAATTCAAAACACTCACAATAACATGACAGGCATTGTCGAAGCAAAGACATAACCTGTCTCCCTGTTGCATCCACTCGTCTGTTGTTCTAGTTACAGTGATAGACTTGAGTTATGGGCATTCGAAGCTAACGGACTCAGAAAAGCTGAGAAAATAAGATTATATACTTTTAATTCATATATTATCATGTATAAATATATAAATACGTATATTTATAAAAAAATATTTGTATTTTGCGTTTGTATTTATAACTATATATTTATCTTCAACATTGTTGTTGACCCTCATCACATTTAATTTCAGTTGGCTGGAAGATAAGGTATCCTGGGTGGATTGTCAATCGGAGGAGAACGACTAAAATGTATAACAGACAAAATACGGTGTTTTGTGGACATATTTTCGGAACGTTTTTATGCAGAAAACGAAGACCTCTCCGAGAACAACATGAATTCATGAACCAAATCTGAGTGTTTTCAATCTATCACATCTTTCACTCAAAATTTATGCTTGTATGCCAATGTATAAGGAGCATTCAGCGCTCCTTTCAATTAATCTGTAAACAGGGTTGACCAATACACTAAATAAGATATTACCGTGTATTCTTTTCTAGTCAAAAAGAGTTGAACATAAACGGGTTGCCAGCTTTCTCAGTTAATCCTTCTCGGTGTAGACGTATAGGGATGGTTCGTCTGCGTGAGCAGCCACCATAGAGAAGCCACCTCTCCTGAAAAGGATATCTTATTAAGGGGAAAACCGCTTATCTCCTGGAGCTTCATTAAGCGCACTTTTAGCACCGTCACGGACAGCGGACCGTCAGCTATGCAAAAGCTCTCCATATGGGTCGGAAACTAGTGCGCGTCGATATAAACCAAAGTTTCGGGTTTTCATACAGCTGACGTAATTTAGTGTTTCGCTTATTACACGGACTGGTTACTTAGAAAGAACTCCTCCTCGTGTTAACCAAATAGCTTTGCCGTCAATTATCTGTTTTCAAGGAAACAATCCCCTCTTGTGAATCGTGACCTGAAACCATGAGATGCTCTTTCTAGTAAGGGCCTGATCGGTGCTACCGCCGTCGGTGCAAATCTGTTTGGCACAGAAATGTATCTGGTAGGTAACATACCTTCAGCTTATTAACCATATAGAACGAATATTGAAGAGCCTGGGCCCGGGTTTCGTTAAACAAGTTGAGCACCACTTGGTGTATAATGCAGCAAAACATGAGGGGAAAACTAGTTGTGTACATGCGAGAAGAGAAAAAATCTGTCAACCAAGGTCATCTGTGACTGACATACCATTGACACCCGTGGTACCTCCAACTTCAACATTACTTAGACATTCAATTCATGAAATTATTACATATTCGTCCAGATAGTTGCTAGATTTCTGCGCAGTGAAGTGTTCGAATGTATTAAGGCTTAGAATACTCAAGACGGTAATCCACTGTTTTCGGACATATCTTTGGGGTTTCGAACTGGCTGAGAGCACTATGTAGTCTATGCGCAGTGCTATCAGTCAGCCATGTGATGTCTTCTGAAATTCTTCGCCCAAAAGACCCACGTCCTAACAGATACGGACAAGGTTCGCTAAATCCTGATGACCGCTATTTGGTGACTGATAAGAAGGTTACGCAAACTGTCTTTTCGGAAGATATAGTTGGGAGCAATTGAGGCGAACTTGTCAGTAAAATGAAGCCTGCTCTCAGCGGATCGGACGACAGTCCAAGAATTTCGACCAAAGTCATTTGATGCACTACTCAAACGATATTCAAAACTGCTGCATTCTGTGACGCTTACTACTATAATAAAACAAAGGTCTCAAAGACGGCTGTGATCGGGCTCGAAAGTTTGTTACGAGATGACACTCAGTAGAGGACTGATTGCCTGAACCGGTTCAATGCCGCAATAATCAACAATGATTCCGTTACCTTATCTGGGTTAAATAAGAATCAGACTGGTGCACTAAGGCTTGGTGAGCCTGACGTGACCCTTATGCCATGTCGGTTCCTTCAGTACAGGATATTCCCTCACCTTCAATCACACAAACACCCAACATTAACGCCGCCTCTGTTCATCTTCCACCATTCTAGTACCACGACCCATTCATCTGGCCCACACAAGTTCAAGCTGAGTTTGCCCTTCGTAGTGTAACGCAAGAGCATACAATGTATTACCATGTGCTTGCAGTACTCCCTCCCGAATTCGCAGACGATTTACGCGACATATTAATGGACCCTGACGGCACCAAGCCTTAGTACACTAGTTGTGACGAAATTAGGTTGATTATCAGAAGGTAACAAGCACTAACAAACGTCTGTCTTACTAGAATGTGATGAATACAATAGTTAGGTGCACTTGATAAAAATAGATACAATGTGAAAAGTGGAATAAGCCAAAAAGTGACTTATCGTTTGAGGACACTTGTTGAGAGTTCCTGAGTGAAGTTCCGGGCGCGGGACGTGTCTTCTCTGCAGTATAGCTGCTACACGTGTTCCGTAGTTGTCAGTGTAGACTAGCGGAGCCCTGTTTTTTCCTGTCCCGTGCACGCTAGTGTGTGTTGAGTCTAGTTGTATGCCTATTTATTGTGTGCCCTGTGAAGAGAGGGCGTCCCTTCGTGTTTGATGCTCGCACGAACATGAATAAAACTTGACCTGATGTGTTGAAATTCATAAGCCTGGCGCGTTACGCAAGTGGTAGCCGTGTGAACAAAAATGCATGAGAATTTGTAGTGTACATTTTGTCGGCTAAGGTTGCAAGTGGGACAGGAATTTTCACGTGGTTTGAGTGTTTGTGACGCGTGATTTGATGAGTGACCTCTACAAAGGACAGACCTACTTCGCTACTAAACATGGCTCTGGTTTTGCTTGCCAAAATGATGTTTATAATCAAACCACATAACGTGTATTTCTGTAAACTAACATTCTGGAATTTCCGGACGCACGTAGTACAGGAAGAGATAAACTGTTCCCATGGAAAACAGCAACAGATAAGATATTCCAAGTGTCATGAGTCTCCCCTGTTGTATATTGGGAGGGTGGCAGATGGATCTAAATTGGATATGAAAGCTGTCCTTACCACGAGGAAAGTCTAATTTTAGCGCGGTGGGAATAAATCCCGTTGTGCGGAGGCCTTTCGGACAACAAGTCGGAGGGATAAAGTCTTCGAAGGAGAAGCTGTTACATGATTTAAGTGGTAACATGATACTAGACACTAAACAGAATCCTCAGTTACACGGGATTTTTGTAAAGGGGACATTCTCCAGCGCACTTTGGAGCACTTTTGGGCGTTATTTGATTAATAAGCAAATACCGCAAAGCTGTCCATCCTTCTATGAGATGTAGCGAAGGCGCTTTGACATTTGACCACATACCACTTTCATCCTTCCTCAGTAGTTCTATGACGGCTAGATCGGAAGATCAATTCATTTATTGAAATCTGAGTGCACAGATCTCATGAATTTAGACTGGTGGTAAAAAGCTAATATCTGTGAATTATGTCACTGCTAAGTGCGCAAAATTTTCGAGTTGCGAAAGGAGAAGNGGCGCTTTGACATTTGACCACATACCACTTTCATCCTTCCTCAGTAGTTCTATGACGGCTAGATCGGAATATCAATTCATTTATTGAAATCTGAGTGCACAGATCTCATGAATTTAGACTGGTGGTAAAAAGCTAATATCTGTGAATTATGTCACTGCTAAGTGCGCAAAATTTTCGAGTTGCGAAAGGAGAAGATAATCAATGTCATCGTAGCAGTCTACTTGGTGAAAAAGTTTAACCTCGACTTAGTTCCCCTCGGATTTATTTTTGCAAATTGAAGTTGTGAGTTTGCTTCATCTGAACTCTGGTTGTCCCCTGTTGGAACGTATCGTCCCGTTTCATCTTTTATCGATCTATTAGGAAGGATCAAGAAGGATCTCATTATCAATTGTTTCACTCGGTGTTACTGCTGACAGATTATAGATTTAATCTAATTTGCTACAAACCAAGTCTAAATATGCCATCCCTCACTTGTTACATTGGATCATTTAGGAGTACAAAGGCTCATAAAATACCGCCCAGGCTTCAGGACTGCGACGGAGAAGATTTTTTCAAGAATCTAAATTTTGTTTGTGTTTCTCACTTAAGCTTATCATACATACGTTAGCCGGGCACAAGAGAGATACTCCAGCTAACAAACTCTCTTTCCTCAAGCACTCGTCTTTTAACAAATCCAAACGCTTTGACCTACCGTGCCTTTGTATTGAGTGAACGTGCAATTTTATTGATAGTAGGTCAAGTACAGATTTCCGGTAACGCCCTTGCAGCTCCATAAATGAAATTTTTAGCGAATTATCGAATCGTTCGGTTTGTTTGGTGAAATCGTTGCCTTGGTGACGCTACAGGAGGATTAATTTCATTACTTTCCTTGGCATATAGAGTAGGTCTATCGGTTTCAACGTATGTCAAAGCCGAAGCGTAAGTCATGAGAATTAAAAACACTTGCTTTTAGATTTTGTCCACCTAAGATTTTTCGATTTTCCATATTTGATGTTGGGCTGGTAACCAGAGACTATACACTCAACCGATAGTAAACTATATGATTTGTATTTATCCATATGCTATCCGGGAAAATCTACAAGTGCGATGACCTACTACGATCGAGTGTGCAGCAATCTTGACGCAGGCCATCATGTTGATGACTAATTCATAGCATGCCCAGAGGTCAGTAGTAGTTGACCTAACCATCTATCGAAATCCGGTTGAAGCCAACAGTAGTTTTAAGAATCCTCCTAGTCGGATTCTCAGCATTTTGGCTTCAGATTGGTGAGAGACTGGGTAGTCAGGTGAAGTCTTCTTTGAATCGATACAAACGCGGCAATGATTTCTTTTCGTACTTATTTAACTGTCTCACGCGGCTACCAATCAAGTGCTGACCATTACTGACTTCCTACATGAAGTGTTATCTGTAGATTCTGAAACCTAGCCCAAACGATCTAGGCACTTATCATAATAGGCGACACCATCAGCTTTGAATTAAGAAAGTTCTGCCTTGAAAGGGTTCGGCGTGAAAATTCGAATGGGAAATGATTAAATGCTTGCCTCGTCATTATACCAAATAATCAGACTTATCTGCAATGTCAAAAACCTGAGGGAAGTCAGAAAACTTTTTCAGCATTCCTGTCCTTCCATGCCTACCGTTAAATAGACGGGGACGCATAAATTGACCTATCCCTGCAGGTAGGCCACGCTTGGAGCACTCATGGATTTCCTTTTTAGTTAGGTTAGTAAGCTTAGTGAAACGGCGTCGCCTAAACTGTGACACTGTTGTTTGCAAGCTGATCTTGTATTGTGCTATACAAAGTTCCAATTTGAGGAATCGAATTCGTAGCATATACTGGTTTTCAGTCAGCGGGCAACCTTTTCACAGATCCATCATTCGTACACATAGTAAATGACTTGCATGTCGCTTACCTAATTTACACTGAAGGTCAACTAGAGAAGAACTGCAGGTTCCAAAAAGCCACCGGGGAGTCACTTTGTAATAAGAAAATAGTTTTAGTCTAAAAAGTGCAATGTACGGAAGGTTTACATTGGTTTGAACGTG